TATTAGTGTAGAGGATAGATACTATTTTGCCCCTCCATTACTTTTAGTTGATTTTTAGAGAGAGAGGAAGAGAGAGAGAAACACCAATTGGTTTCCTCCCCTATGTATCTGCCCTGACTGGGAATTGAAATTCCAACCTCTGGGTGTAAGGGACAATGCTCCAACCAACAGAGCCACCCAGCCAGGGCCAATTTTTAAAAAAAATATATTTGTATTGATTTCAGACAAGAAGGGAAAGGGAGAAAAGCAGAAACATCAATGATGAGAGAGACTCATTGATTGGCTTCCTCCTGCACGCCCCACACTGGGGATGGAGCCTGCAACCTGGGCATGTGTCCTGAACGGGAATCAAACTGTGACCTCCTGGTTCATAGGTCAATGCTTAAGCACTGTGTCATGCCAGCCAGGCCACTTTTTGTTTTTATTAAAGAACCAGGTATAACAAGATTCTTCCTAGGTTTTCAGATAATTTATCATTTGATACTTAAAGGAAAAAAAATGTGAAAGGATTTGTTTTTTACTTTTCTCTTGTTAATCATCCCTTGAGGATATTTTTCCCTTTTTTTTTTAGAGCAGGAGGGAGGTGGATAGAAACATTGATGTGAAAGAGACACATCAATTGGTTGCCTCCCACCCCTTCCCCGACTGAGGGAAAGGCATGGAGCCTGAAACCTGGATACTTACCCTTGACTTGAATTGAACCCGTGACCCTTCAGTCCAAGGGCTGATGCTCTAACTGCTGAGCAAAACTGGCGAGGGCTGTTTTTTACTTTTAAGGGATTAATTAATATTGTTAATACATAAATGAATCTGTATTTGTGATAGTGCAGGTTTTGCGAGTGTACTGAATAAAATGAACATCTACACTAATAAAAGAGAAAAATGGTAATTGGCGTACAACGCTACCCTTTTCATTGGCTAATCAGGGCTATATGCAAATTAACTGCCAACTCAGATGGCAGTTAACTGACAACAAAGATGGCGGTTAATTTGCATATGTAGGCACAATGCTGGGAGGCGAAAGGGAAAGCAGGAAGAAGCCCCTGCCACTGACAGTGATCGGAAACCCAGGGGGGAGCTAAGAGCCTGGGGGCAGGGCAAAGGCGGCCCTGGGGGTCCCCTGCCCAGGCCTAACCCCTCAGCCAGAGGCGTTAGGCCTGGGCAGGGGCAGAGCGGGAGATCGCGGGGAGCTGGTGGTCCCCATTGCCCTGGCCGGATGCCTCGGCCTGAGGCATTAGGCCTGGGCAGGGGCGGAGCCTGAAACTGCGGGGAGCTGGAGGTCCCCTGAAGCCTGACAACAGTTTTTGTCATTAAAAGTAAGACATTTACAACTATGTAAAGCATGAAGGGAGGGAATTTTCAGAGATGATAAATCAAGTTACTTTAATGTACGTGCTGACCTTTTTGGTTGCTCTATTTTTATTCTGAAAAGATGTTGCTGTATGAATACATTTCCAAAATCAACAATGATGCTTAACAATGGAATTTGAGAGACTATTATTTGATACAAACACAATAACAGACACGAAGTAGAACAGGTTTTCCTGGCTCAGAAGCTGATTTGTGCACCGGGCCCCTAGTGAATCAATAACTATCCAGAATTTTATACTCCTTAAGTCAAAAGGATGTTCTGGTAGCCTTGTTACTTTAAGAGTAGTTTTTTGTTGTAGGTAAACTTATATAGATTGACCTGATACCACATTGCTTTTGTAACTACGATGTTCAGTATCTCATTAGTTCTACATTTCTACTTAAATTAGCTATAAGTCAGTATCTATAAGAACAAAAGCTTACTATGCTAATTAGATCAGACAGCCAAACGACCTTCCAAATGTCATTCCAGATGTCCTTCCGGATGAAGCAGCCATGGTGGGGGCCGAGGCAGAGGCAGTTAGGGGTGATCAGGCAGGTAGGCAGAGTGGATAGGGGCAATAAGGCAGGCAGGCAGAGTGGTTAGGAGAGATCAGGCAGGCAGGCAAAGGGGTTAGGGACAATGAGGCAGGCAGGCAAGCGGTTAGGAGTGAACAGATTGCAAGAGAGTGCAGGCCAGGCTGAAGGACCTCCCTTTCCCCGTGCACAGATTTCATGCACTGGGCCTCTAGTACTTGTATATATGGCATGTAGTTGGTACAGAATACAGTCATATATAATTGTGTGCTTACAATTTGCAATGCTTTTTCCTTAGGAACCCCAATGATTCCTGTACCAATGAGCATTATGGCTCCTGCTCCAACTGTAAGTATAATTGTTAAGTAAGTAAATTTTTTACTTATTGATTGATTTTAGAGAGAGAGAGAGACATTGATTTGTTTCCCACTTATTTATGCATATTGGCTGCTCCTTGTATGTGCCCTGACCGGGGATCGAACCCGAAACCTTAGCCCGAGCAACCCGGCCAGGGCAAGGACAGGTTAGACTTAACCTGCCTATCAGAGCCCTCCTCTAGGACAGGGGTCAGCATCTGGAAAACCCTGTAGCATTCCATACAGTCAGCATCTCAGGCTTCGTGGTGCGTCGTCTCTGTCTTAACCACCCCTGGAAACAACCAGAGACGACACGTGAGTGGATGGCCCGGAGCTGCGATCTAATCGAGCCACTTCGGACACTGACCTCTGAACCCCAGAGCCTTCCCACGTGCCACACAGGCGTCTCCCTCGATCTTCTCTCGGTCACTTAGGAGATGTAAAACCCACTCGCTGCTGGCTTTTGGCCCAGTCTGCCCTAGGCTGTCAGTAACGCGGTGAGGTCGGAGACACAAACTGGGGGTCATGGCTTATGACCAGATGAAAGGTCTCCTAGAGAGAATGAGGAGAGACAGAAACCAAAAAGTTAGTTGGACGGCTGCCGCCTGAGCTCGTCCAGAGCCCCGGCCAGTGTGGCTCAGTGGTTGAGA